TGTTTTGTTGTCTCCACTTGGGGGACAAAACCCAAAGGGTGTCCCCCCTATTTTTTATTATTTTAATTTTCTTTTTTTTCGCGTTTTATCCAATTTTGCTCCAAATCTCTTCATCTTCATACCGCTTTATTCCTACACAATTAAAATATAATATTAAGCACAAAACAATATAACTAATACTCAAAAGAGGATTAAAAGTACTAATATATGAGGCAACAATGGGTAAATATATGCATTTTTGGCCGAACAACAATAACTACATATAATTGTCCATAAAAAGTGAGATTAATAATATGAATAATAACTACAGATAATTGTCCATAAAAACTGAGATAAAATCTGAAAATAACATTGGATAGTTGTTATAATATGTTAAAATACATTGATAGAATAAAAAATCTAATAATGTACATATGTAAATTAAATATACTACAATTTTTATAATTATTACACAAACAGTGTAAACTTTATACCACTCATCAAGTTAACAACATGTATGATAAAATTACATATGACAAAGTTGTAACGACCCAACTGGTCGTTTTGCTTTCTAGAACCCCGTTCCCCTAAATAAGACTTCTCGTACTTGCTTTTATTTGTTCCTTAAGGTTTGCTTAAAAGGCCAACTTTTACTTCAGTCAACATTTTGGATAAACGGCCTCAGAATCAGGATTTGAGGGTTCCAATAGGTTCGTATGATGATTTCGGACTTGGGCGTATGTCTGGCTCGGGTGACCCGGGAGAGTTTTGGCGCCTAATAGTGAAAGTTGGTTCCTTAAGGATTTTGAAGTTCTTAAATATTTGGTTTGGAGCGGGTTCTTGTGTTATTGAGGTCCGAACGGAATTCCAAGCCCGGTAATAGTTTTGTATTGTCATTTAAGATTTGCACGAAAATTTGGTGTCAATCCGAGTAGTATAAATGTGTTTCGTTGCATCGGATGTGAATTGTAGAACTTGAAGTTTATAAGTTTGATTCAATTGGTTTCAGGAGGTGATTCTTATATTTAGCGTTGTTTTAGGCGTTCCGAGGGTTCGAGCGAGTCCGTTTTATGATTTCAAGCTTGTCGGTATGTTCGAGTAGGGCCTCGGGGGCCCCGAGCGTCAATTGGATAAGGCTCGAGTTGAGTTAGAAATTTTGGAAGGAACTGAAGATCCAGGTTGCTTCCATAACCGCACCTGCTGTTGCGCAGCCGCAGGTGCGAGACCGCTGAAGGGGTCAATCCTTCACAAGTGCGGCCCAAGGGGAGGAGCCCAGGAACAGCAGATGCGGCTCCTTTTCTGCAGAAGCGGCCCTCAGACTGCAGATGCAGCCCCAGCCAGCCCGGTCAAACTCCGTAGATGCGGACCTCTCCTCGCAGAAGCGAGACCGCAGATTCGGTCCCCTAATCACAGGTGCAAAAATCGCTGAAGGCAGCGCCTTCATTTAATACGGGAAATGTGTCATTTTTGACATAATTCATTCATTTCTTGGGCGATTTGGGAGCTTCCAAAGAGATGATTTCAGCCTAGCATTGTGAGGTAAGTTAATCTACATAATGTGAGTTTAATACGTAGTTTAGGGGTAGATTACACCATGTAAATTAGTGAAAATTATGGGTTTAGATTAAAACCTAGGGTTTTGATAAAAACAAGATTTAACAACGAAATATGTTATGGAATGAAGTAAAAATCATATATTCTTGATCCTTAGGTAATGGATAACAACTTCGCTCGAGAATTTCCGAAATCCGGGCACGTAGGCCCGGGGATGGATTTTAGGAAACTTGTATTTAGGGTTAGGAAATTACTTTAATAGTTAGAATATGAACTATTGAGCTTTTATTGACTAGTTCTTACCCCGTTTGATTAGTTTTGGATCGTTCGGCTCCGAATTGAGGGTTTGAGCGCGTTCTTGAAAGTGGAAGTAAGCTTTGGAGCAAGGTGAGTCTCCTTTCTAACCTCGTAAGAGGGAAATAAACCCCTAGGTGAATTAAATGAATGTATGTGATTATCTGTGGGGGCTACGTACGTACATGGTGACGAGAGTCCGTGCGTAGCTACTATTATGCTAATTGTCCGGGTAGTTTAGGACTCGTATCATGCCATACATGCAAATGCTTATGTTCTTGCTTGACTGAGATCACTTAGGACATGTTAGGGATTGTAAATAAATATAAACGAAATGTACACACCTACTTGAGAACTTGTATGAATTTATTTGACTATAAATGAATAATGTGGGCCTTCTTGATAATAATTGTTATTTGTGGATCGGGCTGATCGCCTCGGTAGAAATAGATGCATCTATGGTTCACGCCATTCGACCCTCTGACAGTGCACTGTTATCATTATGTTGGACCGGGCCGTACGACCTCGGCATAATGTGCGCATGATATTTGTGTGGAATTTATCCATGATTTACTCTGTTTAAATGCTTTGAAATGCAAATTATAATATGACATGACTGAAAGTGATATATTGTTTCTCCTTGCTTTGAGACTGTCATTATATTCGTGCTATCCATGCTTAGCGTAAACCTTAAATATTACTGATATTGACCTTAGTAAGTGTCAAGTCAACCCCTCGTCACTACTTCTTCGAGGTTAGACTGTATACTTGCTAGGTACATGTTGTTTATGTACTCATACTACGCTTTTGTACTTAACTGTACAAGATCCGATGCAGGTGCATCTAGTTACCCCTCCGGCGCGCATTCCTGATTCCATATCGCGGTGAGCTGCCCCTCCCGAGTCATTCAGCAGCATACCGGAGTTCTCTTCTTTTGTTGTTGTTATGTACTGTCTATTCTGTTTCAGGCAGTAGGATAGAGGTATTTTTGTACATTCTACTAGTTGTCCTAATACTTGTGACACTAGTTCCTGGCACACACTGTAGACTATTATTTTTTGATGTATTTATATTATTACGAACTTGTTAATTATTGACTGTTTAAAAGCTTAACTGTTAAGAAAATGTTGGGGTTATTTTGGTAAAATAATGAGAAAACCATTAGTTGAATTAGGGTTGGCTTGTCTGACAAAGGTATCAGACGCCTTCACGACCTACGATGAAATTTGGATCGTGACAAAAGTCGTCCACATTAAAGAAAGGTTTTAGGTTATAATTTGACCTTTTCTTTCTCTTGATAATGGTGGTAGTTTCTATTCTAAATAGTGCATATGCGAACTCCTATTAACCTCATGACAATATTGCCATCTAGTTTCTTCGTATGCGTCCGAAGTAAACAATGAGCATTCCCATTTGTTCTTACTCCTGTTTTAACTTAATTGAAAAGGTGATCTGACAATTAATGATTTGCTTTTAGTGTCATATTTTTTTAAAAGATAAAAAAAATAAAAGATAGAATAACATTAAAACTCTCCATAACAACGACTTTAGAGAGCTTTTTCTCAGGCTAAGTACTTATTAATCATCATCATTTGCACTCTTTAGCATTTAATTTCCTATTCACATTAAATTATCATTTGCACTCTTTGGGAGTACTGGATTACCTTTTCTGCAATTGTACGACATAATGTTATTAATTAAGTAGCTTACATAACCGTGGAGAATTACTATCTATATGATATGATTAATAAAATGACTCATTAACGAGATTAAATTTACTCGTCACATTTTATTTGTCATTTTCAGTCTCTCTTTATAATGGGAAGGACTTGCTTCTATATTCCTGTTTTGTCTCCTTAATATATATAACATGATCAAATGGACATTTTTACTTAATGAATTCAATTGTCTCAAGAATGGAAGGACTGATAAGTTTTATCTCAAATATAAATGGCAGCCTAGTGCTTGCAATCTACCCAGGTATTGACTTGCTAAACTATTTTTCTTATTCTAATTAAAAATTATTTGGAGTGGATTATGCTCAAGAATAGTAGAAAGGAAAATATAATAACGAAAATATTGTGGAGTTTCTATAATCCCTAACTCGTTAAACTCTTTGCATGTGTGCTTTTTTTCCTTTTCAATTGCATATTGATGATTATCATGGATTTAGCTAGAGTTTTAATGAAAAAATTAAAATGTAAAACAATAAAAGAAAAGACAACCGCAAAATTTATTGGGCAAAGATCACTTTTAGCTCCCGCGTCTGAATTTTTTTATATCGCGTAGCCGCATAAGTGTATAAAATTTGCATATTTGTTGTGTATAACATACAGAAATATAAATATATACAAAAAATATATATTTAATTTGAACTATTATTTTTAGAGCAGATATACAGTGTTATTTTCTAAACTTATTTTGTATTGGTACCTTGTCCATGTACATTAGGGTGTTACTTAGTAGGCATCTCATTTCCTCTATGTGTGTAAATTAAGTTAAATTTGATATCTCTCGATTTCATTTTAGAGTAAATTAATATTCCAGTGCAAAAGTGAAGTTGTTTTCTTGAATTTTGACATAGGTTTGATGGAAGAGCTTTTCTGGAAAAAAAATAGAGGTAAAAAGGTAATGTTTGTGGGAGACTCATTAGGCAACAATCAATGGCATATATAATCTAAAATTTCCGGTAAGCATCAAGATTAATTTAAGAACTTCACTCTAATTCTAAAAAAGTTTAATCTCTTTACATTGATAGAGTAAATTTTTTTGCTCGTTGCTATTTCTTAGCTAATTCCACTACCAGAAAATGGGTCTATGGGAACAGTAATTTTAGCAACGGTTCAAGAACCGTTGCCATAGATCATGTATGGTAACGGTTACAACCGTTACAGTAGCATCTAAGTTAACTAGCACACTTAAAGTATAAAACCGTTGCAATAGTAAATTAACCGTTGCCATAGAATCTAAAGCAACGGTCATGTAAACTGTCCCAATAAAACAATCTACTGGAACACATCTTTAGTAAAAATAGCTATTGGAACGGTTATTTTTTTTCCTCTTTATTTCCCCCCTGAATTTTTGTTAACCCGCCAAATATCCCCTATTTATTTAGTTTTTTTAATAATTTTAATAACCTAAATATTAAATAACAAAATATTTGTGTTATAGTTCTGTGTATACCCAACGCCGCGATATCCCCAATGCCACAACCTTCTTCTTCACTGGAAAACCTTCTTCTTCTGCAAGAATCTTCTCCTTCCTCTTCAAAATCGCCGATTCCCCCATCTCCCTCTCTCTAAAAACTCCGATACCCCCATCCCTCTCTCTGATGCCCTGAAAAACCCTCAGTCCTCTTTTAATTTAGAGTTTTCTGAGGTTTAGTTTGATTAAGTGCAGAATGAATCTGAGAAACTAAGATTTTGTGCAAAGGGTTTGTATCCTTTGAAGGGCTTAGGTCAACTTGTTGTGCAAAGGTTACAAACGAAGATCGGAGAAACAATTTGAAGACTCAAATACTAAGGTAATAAGTTTTTTTTTTGCGCTCATTGCACTTTCCGGTTCTTAATCGAGAAATCTGGTCTTATTTTTGGGTTTTCTTATGGTTTTTTCAGTTGAATTAGGGATTTTTTATGAATTTTTCCTATGTTTGTTCTAGAGCCTGTTTGTATTTCTAGTCCTTGGCGGCTTTTTTCTGTTGTTATGTTTTCCATGTTACTGAAAACTCTCATACAAGCAAAGAAAGTACTTGTTTTGGATAAAGTTCTTAAATCTTTTTCTGTCCTTACTTTTGCTCTATCTTTACTTGCATTCTCATTTTCCTTAACCATTTAATGCATTAATCTTCTTCCTTCACTGTACATTGTTCGAATGTGTTACTTTTGCAGCTATGCTGCTAGCGATCCTTTTTTTTTTTGGAAGTTACATTCAAGTTCCCATGTTGTCTTTAATTAGCTACAATATTTGAAAATGTCAGAAGTATGAGCCTATATTTGAACTTTTCCAATTGTTTTTGATGACTGATGAGTACCTTATAAGTAGTATGAGCCCATATTTGAACTAATAGATTTATGTAATCTGATGAATGTCAAATTGACAACTATTCTAGTATTCCATTGGCGTCAGTGTTACTTCTTTACTTAATTTTTCAATTTCTTACTGCAGTGGTTAGCTAAAAGACAAGCACATTTACTACGCGCTCAACAAGGGATTCCTATCTCCGAATTTGGGGTAAGCATTAGAACCCAAAGCATACTTGATTTAGTTTATGTTAACTTTCACATATGGCATGTTTGAATTTAGGTTGTGCTATGTTGTATATATTTCCCTTGCCCTTTCGATTTTGTTTCCTATTTATTATGTAAAAGCTATTAAATTGANTGTTAAAGTTAGTTGTTCTTTTTGCTAGCTAGAAAGTTGCTCTATTGATCAAAAGGTAGAGATCCTACAAAAAGATATGATTCTCTGTAAATGATATCACAATTACTATGGCTTCTGCTATTCTTCACCCATTTCGTATAAGCCCATCATTGATATCACAATTAGCTTTAGTATTTAAAAAGAGTATAAAAACTAGCCTACTACAAATTGCTCCTTTGTGCATTGTTTCTCCTTTCCTTGATGTTGTGCTCTGTATGTGTGTCCTACATATTTGTAAATTATTACTGCATTTGTGTCCTTAACTTGTATTCCATATAAGCTACTGCATAGTCAACCAGTGTTCCACATAGAGTACCAGTGCTCCACCTCGATGACCATTCTTCCACATTGATAGTCCATGAGTGTTGCTGCCTTCTTGTGTTCTTTGTATGGTATTATCAACTGTTATGCACATTGTCTTCTCCCATAATTCTGTGTGGAAGTTGGATTTTGTCGTCCATACTTGGATTGTAATCCATGATAGAACCTGTGTATTTCCAGTCATCCCTTGTTCTTTGTATGTCCTACTATCTGTATATGCAAAGCTTCTTGCTACTGTCTTTCATATCCTCTCTAGCTTCCTTTGAAAGTACCTCCTCGACTGTGAGTATGTGGACAGTATATGCTTGCCTTCCTTTGTAATTGCTCCCTCTGTATTCATGTGTGCATTCCTCTTTATTTGAACCTGTATATGGTTGAAAAGAAAACACAAAAAGAAAGCTCACAGATTCTACATTTAATCAGTCATGATGTTTCCAAATCTTGTAGAGGTACTAAAAAAATCTACTTACTATATTTTATTGTATATAAGACTAATATGTTATGCATATTTTATTAGGTATCAGTTGGGTATCTTATGTATGAAATGTTATAACTGGTCAACTCAATCGAAGTCCAACTTTTCAACTAGCTAATTTTACCAGATGAAGATGCTAAATATTTTGGAATTTTATCCAAACGTGGCCTGAAGCTGAAGCAGGTTCTTTGTCTGCTTTTGATCTGCTAATTGAAGCTAACTTTATGATTTCAGTTCCTTTGCTGCTGTATGTATTGTTGGTTTTCGTATTACAGTTGATTAGCTTTGGTGGTTATTTTTTTTCTTTTTTTTTTTTTTTTGCTGTCTTGGTTTCTTGAGTTGTACTCTATTGCTGGAGGATTAATTCTTGACTTACTTTTTTTTGTTTGGTGATGATGCTATTTTGTTGACCAAGCATCTCTTGCTAGGTTGCATTTTCTAAGTGTTTGTACTTTTCTAAGTGTTGATTAATTTAGTAACAGAGAGAAAATTATGCTTGCCTTGTTGTCTTGTTGGTTGTTGCCATTAAGTTTATTTGTTGTGCTGCTCTTTATGGCCTTGTGGAGGTGATCCAATTGTCTTGTCGGATTTGACATTATTCTGTTTGTCTCAAGCATAGAGTATTCTGTTGGCCTGTTGGTTTTTGTACCTTATTCCGTTTGTCTCAAGCATAGAGTATTCTGTTGGCCTGTTGGTTTTTGTGCCTTATTCTGTTTGTCTCAAGCATAGAATATTCTCATGCATTGTGGAGATGATCCAATTGTCTTGTAGGATTTGACATTATTCAGTTTGTCTCAAGCATAGAGTATTCTGTTGGCCTGTTGGTTTTTGTGCCTTATTCTGTTTGTCTCAAGCATAGAGTATTCTCTGCCGCAGATTGTGTTCATCAGTGAGGCTAGTTGGATCTAGTGTACAATGAACTATTCTGATTTTTGCACTGACCTTTGTCCTTTTAACCAAACATTTCTTCGTAGTACCAGGAGTAATAAATTTTCCCAGCATTCAGAGTAGAAACTGATTGACTGCTTATATAATTACTGATAATGTGTACATGACAGCATAACAGATGAATAGGGAGAATGTAACGACAGATTTCATATTCAATAATTAACTTTAAGACACTAGCATTGATCCAAACAGGCAGCCAATTAAAAACTAAAGAAGTCTCAATTTAAGAAGAAATTCCACAAAATAAAAATTGGATCTTGAAATTTGTAAGTGGAATGCATAAAGGCCAAGTACAGTAAGCTCAAGATTGAGCTAAACAAAGAAATACCTATTCCACTTTTGCAGAATAACTTAAAGATCCAGCAAGATTCTTCTGATCCACACCCTTAAATTCAAACAATGTGAATTTAAAATCCTAACTTTAAACCCCACAAAATGCAACCAAGATATTCCTGGACCCAGGAACAAAAAAAAACCTTAAAAATTCCCAAAGTAAAAAAGATGAGATCTTTTTCAACAAGAAAAGCAAGAATGAGAAATGAGAATCTATTAGGAAACCTATATTTACAGTACACAACTATTGTTGTTTTTTCCTCAAAAAAAAGAATTTTATTTTTGTTAGTAAGCGTTGATCCTTCTAACCTAAGTAGTACTATGAGGAAGAATGCCATTCTGAATGGTGTTGAGATTATGAAAATGGTTAATTATGTGGCTTCAAAATCAGGTTCTAAGAAGAGAAATGTTTGGGTTATAGTGAGTTTTGTTCTTGAAAGTTTTATTCTGCTGAGTGTGGTGATACTTGCTAAATGATCCTAATTTTGATACGGAGGCACAATTGTTAATCCGGCTTGTCAATTTCCAAAAGTTTTTCACGATAGAACTCTTGGTAATGATATTTTCAATGATGGTGGGGTGATTTACTTGTTTTTCTTTCAAGCTATGGCTTAGTTTATCCTCTTGAAGAGTAATGACTTTATTTATCCTCTTTTGTAGGTGGAGTAAATCAAGAAATCTAAGAAGATGATGAAAGTGAAGAACTAGACCGTACTTGAGATGAAATTTGAATTGCTATAGATGAATGTTCTATAGGAATCTTTTGTTATCAACCTTTTTGAAACTAATTACTCTCTTGAAATGTATTAAACTTGTGCATTTGGGGTAGAACATTTGCTTTATGGATACTATTTGCTTGATGGATAATTTATATTATTAAAAGTTTCATTTTATAATTTATTTAAATTTTAGTGTTATTATAATTTATTTTATACATATAAATATTTATTTATAATAGGGGCTATATCATTTTTTTTCAACTGAACTGTTGCAATAGCCTACCAGAATCATTGCAATAGGACATAAATTGGCGTTCCATGATACAATGCAAACCGTTGCGATAGGTCATATAAACCGTTCCATAATAACATATAAACTGTTCCCGCACAAAAATAAAACCGTTGCAATAGGGGTAAAGGAACCGTTGTTATATCCATAAATAACTATAACAATAGCTTACAAAAGTGTTGCATTAAATAATATAGTAACGGTTAAGAACCGTTCCATATACACTATAGTAACGGTTTTAAATCGTTCCAATTGGAAAATATAACTGTTCCAATAGAGAAAGGGAAAACCGTTGCGATAGATGCATCTATAACCACGGAGAGTGCAAACCGTTACAAGAACCGTTCCCATAGACCTATTGCCCCGCGAGCTGATGGAACGTTCTATATACCGTTCCCATATCTATATGGCAACGGTTAAACAGTCTATGGGAACGGTTTCCCAACCGTTACCGTAGGCCAATTTTTCAGTAGTGTTCATAGCCAAGTAACATGTCACTAAATATGATTTTATGATAAATCGTTGTTAATCGGGATTAGCAACAGATTTTTTTGTTGTTTAGCGATAATTTTTTTGATAATCCGTCGCTAAATAGGACTGCATAGATAATTCAAAAAATAAATTACATGCACAGTCAATTTATGTAAGTATTAATTAATGCATCTGTTGTATCATATTTCATACATGTAATATACATTCTCACGTTCGTCTTTTGCTCAACTTAAGTGTGTGCAGGGGCGGAACTCGAATGCTAATTCACTTGTTTGGCCTAACCCAGCAGCTTTAATCCAAAATCCTATATTTGTCTTAAGAAATTTATTAAATATGTATAAATTATTAATTATAATTAATTTTTTATTATTTTAACTTTCCCTCCGCTCAAAGAAGAGAAAATCTTTCCCTCCAATTTTTTTATACCTTTTTTCGTTTCCCTCCCCAATTAGAATTAGAAAATAACAGAAGGAAAACATTGAATCGTTATAGTTGAATCAACTTCACTACCAAAAAGCCCTAACTCGCTGCTGCATCAAGGCCAGTGCACGGAAACTTCACTCCCAAAAAGCCCTAACTCGTTGTTGCATCAACGCCAGTGCGCGGAAATGCCAGTGCGATTTACAGTGCGTCAACTATTGTGCACATCTTCTTCCCAGGTAAATTATTTCTCTTCGATTTTACAATTGATTTACAGAAGATCAGTTCAATATTTACAGAAGACAATGCGTCAATGGCAGTGTTAACTTCTCTTCGTCCAATCAATTTACAGTAGATTTACAGTAAATCAGTTCCTTCCAATCGATTTACAGTAGATTTTGTATTGATGCTGGTCGATTGATTTACTGCAAATCAGTTCCTAACTCGTTGTTGCGTCAACAGCCTGTTGTAGTGCCGGTCCATCTTCTTCCCCTGTTAACTTCTCTTTTTCCCCTGTTAAATCAGTCGCGTGCAATCGATTTACAATAGATTTTGGATTGATGCTTGTCGGTTGATTTACAATATATTCTGTGTAATTTAATCTAGTAAAAGTCATGTTATATGGCTGTTCTCAGTATTTGTTTGGTCTATATTTCTTGTCCAATGAAATCTGTATTCTGTAGATATTGCAAAAATAAGAATCAAACAGTGTTCTGCTGTAACTATAAAGGAATGAAATCTGGTGCCTTAGCATTAAGCTTACTGCTTGAACCTACTTTTGACGAGCTGCTAATTCTAGGCAGTGTAGGCGAGCCAATCATTTGCTCCAATATGGGTGAATTATGAAAGTGTTAGTGTGGAAATGGAAGTGTTAGTGTAGCTGGAGTGTTATATAAATGGGTGAATTATGGGAAAGGATGGCGTGCGAGATGGTTTGTGCTTGAAGATGGGGTGTTGTCCTATAAAGTTCATGGACCGGATAAAATTGCTATGAGTCCAGGGAAAGAAAAGGGGTTAAAGGTTATCGGGGATGAGTCTTGGAGGTATATGAGGAAGGCTAACAATTGACTGTATGGATCCAACAAGTGGAAACCATTTGAGGAAATACATTTGAAGGTAGATGTGTGTGTGTGTGAATGCACCACAAATACATACAGTGAATAATTTAAAAACTATGGGAATGCACCTGATCAAGCATATCCTTATTTATTGTTTACTTTTGCCTTAACTTTTAAGTTAGTCCGTTAGATACTTGTGAGTTAGCCTTTTCGAACACTTATGGAATGTAATCTTTAAATTTAAGTTGTTGTGCAACTTGGGCAATGCATCAATTTGTATATTTTAAGGATTGCATTGAAGTTTATCTTAGAAATGTGAACTTTGATTTATCAGTCTGTAGACAGGTGTCACGACCCCAGTTCACCCTCTATGAACATGTCGTGATGACACCTAGTCCTTATGACTAGGTAAGCCTAACAATGCGGAAGATAAACCTTAATTGCGGAAGAAAATAAATAAAACTGAACTGGTAAAAAATGAAACGGTGTTTAAGGTGCCGCTCGGCACATATCACAACAATTCTCGAAGCTAGCAAACTCCCAAAACCCGGAAACTCACAAATCACAAGCTAAGGGGATACATAAGAGGCTCTGACTCAAGAATATCTATACAAAGGAGAAATACTGGAAAAACTATACTTATTACAGAAAGCTGGAAAGGGGCTCCTCGGTCTGCGGACGTAGCAGATATACCTTGAAGTCTCTACCGGTACGCCTCCTTCCAAGGCTGACAGAACTGAGCGGAAGTACCTGTATCTGCACAACAAAAATGTGCAGAAAAGTAGCATGAGCACACCGCGGCGGTGCCCAGTAAGTATCAACACTAACCTCGGTGGAGTAGTGACGAGGAACAGTCAAGGCACCTACCGGTCAATAAACAGTATAATCATAGGAATAATGGAAACGACATATAATTATGTAAAGACTGCATGAATGACCAAAAATGCTACAATTCACAATAAGGGAAAATACAACAAGTAACAATGAGAATATAATAAATGATGATACAAAATGACGGCAGAATCACAATCCAAAT